CTTGTTCTACAAGCTTCATCATTAGACGAAAGCAATGTCTTCGGCACCCCGTCATCATTTGACAAGAGTGATGCCTTCGGCACCCCCGTCATCATTTGACAAGTGAAATGCCTTCGCCACCCTGTCAAATGTTTGACAAAAGCGATGCCTTCGGCACCTTGTTATTATATGACAAGAGAGATGCCTTCGGCACCCTGTCATCATTTGACAAGAGTGATGCCTTCGGCACCCTATCATTATTTGACAAGAGTGATGCTTTCGGCACCCCCGTCATCATTTGACAAGTGAAATGCCTTCGGTATCCTGTCAAATGTTTGACAAAAGCGATGCCTTCGGCACCTTGTTATTATATGACAAGAGAGATGCCTTTGGCACCTTGTCATCATTTCACAAAAGTGATGCCTTCGGCACCCTGTCATTATTTTACAAGAGTGATGCCTTCAGCACCCCTGTCATTATTTGACGAGAGCAATGCCTTTGGCACTCCGTCATCATTCAGTGAGAGCGACGCTTTCAGCACCCCTATGAAAAGTAAAAATGGGGACTTAAGCTTGTTCTACAAGCTCCATAATTTGACGAGAGTGATGCCTTCGGCACCCCGTCATCATTCGGCTAGTGCGATGCCTTTGGCACCCCATCATCATTCAGCGCAAGAAATGCCTTCGGCACCCTGTCATCATTAGGCGCGGGAGATGCCTTCGGCACCCCATCATCATTCGGCGAGTGCAATGCCTTCGGCACCCGTCATCGTTAGGCGAGTGCGATGTCTTTGGCACCCCGTCATCATTCGGCGAGTGCGATGCCTCCGGCACCCTGTCATTGTTCGGCGAGTGCGATGCCTTCAGCACCCCGCCATCATTCGGCATCATCAACACCACACTACTTGGAAGAAGACTAAGGTGTTGCTCAGTCAGTGCATTGAAAATTATAAGTCCTCAACCAAGAAGTACCTCATTGCTTAAGAACTTAGGGGACTTCTGTTTATACCATATCTGACCAAGCAACTGGAAGCAAATCTATGCAAAGCAAAGAGTCCCACATTGGAATATTACAAGAAGTGTAGACTCCCCCTCATCTATAAAAGAAGACCACTCTCCACTTATGAAAGGATCCTTGGGCTGGGCTTGACCTTTAGTCATGGCCTTCTCCTTTCTTACTTTTATTTTGGGTCCAACCCTATATACAAATGTAAATACACAATATTATAATAATGAGAATATACTTCTCCGTGAACGTAGCCCATTCATTAAGGGTGAACCACATATATCTTGTCTTCTATATGTTTATCGCTTGCTCAAATCCTCACACACTTGGTGAAGGTCCTCATCTTCACCCATCATCTATCACACCTCATCGCTAAGTTGGGCTCAAAAGTGCCGAACCATTTTTGAGCGTCAACAGCATCTTCTCATCAAGTCGTTATCCACATAACTCAGGGTACCTTACAACTATGGTTTCTTTTCTTTATTATAAGGCAGCCAACATTAATGTTGTTCTAATGGTATAATTGGATGAATAATGTAAAACTTTTGAACTAATGATCCAATTAATAGTTTGGATTAACTTTATCCGACAAATTAAGCTTCTTTCTTGCAGAAAGAATTATTAGCTGATTTAAATTGTAGCATCCAAGTTGCCAAGTTTTCTCTGTCGACAAACTTACTTTTGGCTGATGTTTCTTAGACATTGATGTTGGACAGGTCACAGGGGACCCGACTTAGCAGTCCTAGATCATGAGCCACACCAAACCCTATTTTTCTTTTTCTTTTTCTTTGATGACATATATAAAGAGAGAGAAATAAAAAGTGTGTGCAACTTTTCTTGGGAAAACTGATTTAAGTTGGAAAAGCAAGCTCCTATCCTATATTAAAATTGAGTTGAGTTAGAAAAGGTCTCAGCCTTGCACTTTGCACCAATAGGCATTCATATGAATACCTATATAAAATTATTATCTATGTCTTAGTGGTGGGCTGGTGGCAGTGGAGAGAAGCTGCCTTGATGCACTTGTGTGACTGGTTAATTATATAATTTATTATTAATTGTCACTCTGCATATATATAATATATACCAATAATTCCTCATTAACAATTCATAATTGGATATTATAAAAATCCCAGAATTGATACTCCACCTTTGTGAGAGTACGGATCGCTTCAACCATGGTTGATTTTCATTGGCTGCAGGCAGCTACAACATATTCATGTTATATATTATTGCTGCTGGGTCAGGGTGTACACACACAACGTTAACGTACGTAATCTTATATTCCACCTTCTTTATTTGCCTAAAATGAATTAGTTTTGTAAAACTAGCTCTGCCGATAAGCATCTAGATATGTTGGTCACCTTCGTGGAGCTATATATTATATATGCATGTAAAAAAGAGTTATCTTTTGTAGACGTGAATTAGGTTAGTTAACTAAAACGTACGTGTCCATTTCTTTTATATATCGAAGTTCGATTCCTCATTCCATGCAAGAATTAATAATATAGCACATAACGGATCCATCTCACAGCATAATTTGTGTTGCTCAATATTATTATTATAGGTAGGTAGCTAGTGCCGAGTGAGTGAATAGAAATTATTCCTTGCGTTGCTCAATAATTGATGCAATATTGCTGCATGCTTGACAGATGTCCTAGTAGAAGATGAATCCCGGCAACGCTACTACTATGGAATTTAGAACCTTGACAGATGTACCAATATGTTGGCCTAACTAGCTAGCTAGAAAGCAGGAAGGAAGGAGGATACTAACAACATATTTGAAGTCGCTTTGCATCTGGATACTAAGAACACCATTTTGGCAACAAGAAGACAATAATTCCATGAAAATAATGACCATAAATTTATCCCCTTTGCTAAACCTGATTTGGGCATCTTTTATTTTTTCAATAATTGCACACCTTAGCAACCAACCGCGAACCGCCAACTGCCAACTAACTTCAAAGCATCTCAAATCTCTCTCTCTCTCTTAATGAATCCTTTTGTTTACCGCCTTATCATTTTGTGTCAAAGTCATTTTCATACAAAAATTTAAAATTAAGCCTAATTAAGAACGACATGGGGAGTTCAAAAAGTCAGACGAGGTCGTTTTAGTTTCTACCGACAAAAACAAAAGGGTTGAATTGAAGAGAATAAGCCAGCCAAGAGCCAACCCAATAAATTTTCATGCCAAATAATAATAAAACACTGTCGCTTTTCTTTTCTTCTCTTTTCCATATGATCCATAACCCATGGCCCATGACCCATCTTCAACACTTGACAACTTTTTTCACGTAAATTAAATAGAGAGTTGGCTTTTTTTCTACTCTGCTCATGTGCACGTGCATAGGATGCAGCTGACCTTCTACGCACACTTTCCCGACCCTGAGTAACGAGAAAGAAAACCTTCCGCATTCTCTTCGTGAGCGCGTCAGTGTTACTCTCGAATCTTTGTTTAGGGGCATGCTGCCCTCTTTCTTTTGCGCTTTGCCGTTTCCGGGCAGACTCCACAGCCCCCGCCCTTTTCAGGTAAGTCTGCGCTGTACGCTATATGAATCCCACGTGCACTTATATCTACAAATTCGGCTTCGCGGGGACCGCCATTTTAGAGTGTCTTGCACGCCTGCTACCAAGCGCGTGCGAAAGGGCCGGCCTTCCTTGGGCCCCGCGGGACCCATCTCATTTATTAACAAATAACGATAATACAGAAGATTCCAGAGCAACTACTTAAATAAATAAAAACACCTCGAAAGAGAAAAAAAAAGAAAAAGTCTTAATACTGCTCTTAAGCGTACCTTGACTTTCAAGTATTTCTTTTGAGTTTTGATTACTCCAGAAAAGAAACCGCAAAAATATTTTTCCAAAGTCAAACTCCCCTGTAGAAATTAAAAAAAAGTCAAAATTAACTCATCTAATGGTTAATTATTTTGAAACAAACAGAAATTGTGATGTTAAAAAAAAAAAAAAAAAAAAGATCATGGCTAGTGTTGAGCATGTACTAATATGTTGTATAATACTATATAAACATTATTCATTCAAGGCCATGTGACCCTAACTCTCTAGGGATCGTAGGCTAATGAAAGCTAAACCAAATAAAAAATATATTTGAAAATAAATAGAAATATAAGTATTTGTACGCTAAATTTTATTTATTTATTATAAAGTATGTGATTATTATTTATCTTTGTGTGTAGTTAATAGATAATAAATTTTTTGGGCTAACATGTTTACAGGTCAAAGAACCAAATAATGCTACTAACCAAACTGTCATTAAGAGCTTAGATATGCAGATAGCAAGGTATGCATAATAGTCTCAGAGTTTTATTCTTCCATAATATTAGTAAGTTATTGTACATGTCTTCTTATTAAAGGGAATTGTAGGGTAATAGTAGAATAGGAAAGAGAAATAACAAAAGAGAACAAAATTGATTAAAAAGCATTAAAATGCAAAAGAGAGTGTAAGTGGAGAAAAAAGTAGTTGGAAAATCACCTCTTTTAATTAATTATAGAATTGAACAGTAAGCATTAATTTAACTTAAGATGAATTGAATCAGGAGAGAGGTGATTGAATTATTGAAACTTTAAATGTTGTATAAATACTATTTTGCCCTTCACATTTAGGACATTAACCAACGACAAATCATTAAATTCATAGCACTCCAAAATGTACAAGAGAATTGTAACTCAAGCGGTCAAGAATGCACGTATGACAAAATCCCCTCTCTAATCCAAACGGTTGTGTGGGTGGTAGGTGTAAAATGAAGCAGCAGCGGAGTGACAATTTAGAAAAAAACGCAAAATCCGCAGAAACAGACAGGTGAATGGCATGTTCATAGTTATGGTTCAAAAGAAAGGGCATTTGTTAGACAGGAAAAATATATTTTATTGCAGCAAATTGCAATAACAAACAAAAGTAAATACAAATTGCAAATTAATTAATTAATTAATGGGGAGTGTTTTTGTTTATTTATTTTTTTGGTTGAAGTAATAATAAATTATTAAAGGTGAGATAGGTGATGAGGATGATAGGGAGGCCTGAGGTGCTTCTATGGCAGTGAGTCTCATACACTTCTCTCTCTCAGAGACCTAACTCTCTCTTTCACACTTACAAGGTTTGACCGAGTCGAACCGAGTTGACTCTCTCCGAATCAATCCGTATTCAGCTGTACTCTTCCTTGTTGTTGTTGTTGCTCCTAATTGCAGAGCGCAGACGGAAAACGAAAGGTGGAGCTAAGTCTGCGCTTGATTGGTCAGTTTATTTCTGATTGATTTTTTTTTTGTTGGCAAGGTCGTTCATTTTTGTGTGTTTTAATTGAATGTATTGTTATCGTTTCAGAAGAAGCAGAGGAAGAAGAAAATGAATGGGAATAAGAATGGAGGAGGAGCAGGGTTTGGTGGGATTGTGGGTGAATACATTCGAAGGCATCACAAGCACGACCCCAAAGACCATCAGTGTACCTCTACGCTCGTCAGGCACATCAAAGCCCCTGTTCATCTTGTACCCCTCTCTCTCTCTCTCTCTCTCTCTCTCTCTCTCTCTCTCTCCACATATATATATATATATATATATGTATGGGATATATGCGTTTGTACATTTATATGTGGGTCTATGAAGCTCCAGTCTTTTGATTTATTGTATTCGTTTGATCTGAGATTGGTCGTTTGGTGATATGTTAATATCATATATGTCACGTATAGGGAGGAGGTGTGTGTGTATTTGTGTGTTTATATACGTATGTATCTGTTGATTTTCGTATATATAGGGATTTGTGATTTCAGTTAGATGTTGGGTAATCTGTACGCTGAATTGGGAGTTTGCTGATTTTGTGCTTTAAAGTTTGTCTATGACATGTGTGATTGGATTCGAGTGTATCTGATTTTGATCTGTGGCATTTCTTTTGGTCATTAATGTGTCTGCCTACACTAATCCATGGTGTAGATCGATGAGGTCACTGTCTCTAACTGTACGCAGTTGCAGAGAAACTTGAGGAGAAAATAGAAACAAGAAAGAAAACTTGAATTGCTTGTTATCACTGTTCCTGATGTTTGTTATTATTAACATGCAATAGTTGGCTTACTTAGAGAAAGCTTAGAAATGTTTATTACTATTCTCCTTAATGTTCTGTTTCCAACCAAATGGACGAATAGGGTGTGCCCCAGAGGCATCCTCACTGAGAATTAGTTTGCGAAACAAGGGATAACCGAAAGTGAAATTTTTTTTTTTTTTTTTTCCGTAAGAGATCTTGGGTGCAAATGCTACTTCTTTGGAGATTTGACATGTAAATATTTATTAGCAGTATATTCGTGCAGTTTTTGCCCCTTTTTAGAATGTGAGTTAAAATTTTTTTTTTTCTTCTCTCATCAGGTTTGGTCATTGGTAAGACGATTTGATCAACCGCAAAAGTATAAGCCATTTGTCAGCAGGTGTGTGGTGCAGGGGAATCTTGAGATTGGAAGTCTCAGAGAAGTTGATGTTAAGTCTGGGCTTCCTGCCACTACTAGTACTGAAAGATTGGAACTTCTTGATGATGATGAACATATTCTTAGCATTAAAATTATCGGTGGGGATCACAGACTTAGGGTATGGAGACTCTTCCTTGTTATAATCTTGCACATAGTTCTCTTTTCCTTTTATTCAATTGCATGCGTCTGAGCAGATAATTTTACAGATTATCTCATTCTCAAACTTTTAATATGAAGTTTCTGGCCCTGTCGGACTTAATCAGATCAAACTTTTCAGGGAAAAAGAGAAAAAAAGAGATTTCCAAAAACCAGGCTTCAATTTTGGTGCTGCAAGATTAAAATTAACATGTATCTTGATCATTTCATTTATCGATCTCAAAGTTCTGAAAATTGGTACCTAGCATCCAGTTATTGACATTAATCCTACTGATTCAAGTATCTTGTCCTATTCGGGAGTCATCACCTTTCTCTTTTTTGGGCACTTTATGGTGGTCATACAAGTTAACTATTTTTCAGATAATCAAAAGTAAATATGATTAGTTGAGAAGTAATGTTATTAGCTCGATGAATGACATTTAAAAGATGTTTATGGATTTTAGTTCCGATACTTATAATTATAGGGCTTAACCATTCCATCCTCACGATATGTGCAATGAGGGCACTGCCATGTTGACTAAAGTTGGCTTGGTGACAAGCCTATGAGGCAAATGCTGATCCTGCTATCAGCAGATCTCCTGACTTGACATGACTGAAGTCTTTGTCTTTGGAGTTTAGTAGGCAGATATCGAGTTTTCTTCCTGGCTGTTGATTGTTTTGTTCTGTTTTTATACAATCAGCATAAACATACTTTATCCTGTCTTTGAATTCTTATTCGGGTTTTTTTTCCTCAGAACTACTCTTCCATCATCTCCCTCCATCCAGAGATCATTGATGGAAGACCAGGGACCGTGGTGATCGAGTCATTCGTGGTTGACGTGCCTGAAGGGAACACTAAGGATGAGACCTGCTACTTTGTGGAAGCCTTGATCCAGTGCAATCTCAAATCACTTTGTGATGTCTCAGAGCGGCTTGCAGTGCAGGACCGCACTGAGCCAATCGATCGGCTCTGAAAACTAGAACTGAGAACATATGGTGGAAGCCAGAGGCTGCCATGGATGAAGCTTCCGAGGCTTTCGTATCTCGGAGGTTTTGGAGACGGACAGGCAGTAGTACAGTTCCATTTTCACATACATTTACATGCTCATGTTTCATTTTTGTTTGCCTTTTTCTCTGTCAGTCCAAAATTATGTTGTTAAGTTTCCTGTCTTAAGGAGCTCTAAAACCACAGCTGTCATAAATGTTCTGTAACCCTTTCAGGAATGAAAAAGTAGTGAAAAAAAAAAGGGAGGGACTAGGTTCTATTCAATGTGAATCCGTGGGTTTTGTTCTTGGTGATGTGAGTTTGGTTTTGTGTATATGTGCATAGAGAGATTGTGTTTGTATATTTGCTTCTAGTTGCATTTATTCAAGTTCACTTCTCTTCACCATCTTATTTTGAATTAGCTAGTACGTCTCAATTCTTATATCAACTAGACAATTTACATTAAGAATTAGAAATCCAAAAATCTTCAATATGAAATCCCATATCCGAATGCAATATCAGTTTTTCTTAATCTCTCTCAGCTTCTGCTGCTTTGCTTTTCTTAATCTCTCCTGCTTCTCTTCTTCTTCAAGCCGGAGACGCTCTATTTCATCCTCCTTCCTAGCAATTTTTGCACTGTGAAAACGGAGCCGCATTGAATTAGGGTTTGCACTTAAACATGCCAAAACATGACTATTGTACATATTGACATGAGCGTGACCAAATCTAATTACATATATACGACATAAATTTAATGGGAAATTTGTAAACAGCAGATAAACTTTATGAGTGACTCACCTCTTCCTCTCTTCTCTCATAATATCAGCAAAGCTGGAGACCATGGCACTGCCATCGTCGTCGTCATCATCTTCTCTGTGTTTGCGTTTAGGTCTGAAAAATCACGACCATCATATTATGTTAGATAAATGAAATTGGCCTATTTTTTGTTGAATTGATAAAGCAAATCAAAGCTTAAAGAGAGAAGAAATCTAACCCAAACATTTTGATCACAGAGGAAATGTCAAGATTGTCATCATCATAACTATCCTCCACATGGCGTTTGGTCTACATAAATTCAAAGGAAACAAAGGCAATGTATTCATTAGTTGCAGAGCTTCGTAACAGAGAAAATGGAAAGAAATATAATTAAGTGGACAATTAATGTTAAATGCATGTGAGCGAGCGAGTAAGAACCTGATTTTTAAAGAAAGAGCTTTTCTGTTTTGGCATTACTTTTGTGTTCTCGGGCTCAACACATTGCTTTGCTGGTTTTATGTTTTGCTTTGTTGAAGATTGTGATCTTTTCAAGGAAGAGCTTTTCTGTTCTGGCTTTACTTCTGTGTTCTCGGGCTCAAGACAATGCTTTGCTTGTTTTATGTTCGGCTTTGTTGAAGATTGTGATGTTTTCAAGGCTGTTTTGCAACTGTCTGCAATCAGTTTTGCTTTCTTAGGTGGATGCAATTTCTTCGGTTGTTCTAATTTTTTCCTTGTTGCAGGCAGTGACTGAACTTTCTCTTCCAAATGTTGACTCTTTACGGATTTCAAATTTGTTGAAGAAGCTCTGTGTATAACAGAAACCGGATTTCGTTTATTGCTTGAATTGGAGAGAGAATTTTTCACAAGTCGAGGCTCTCCTCCTTTTGAAGTTGAAGGAATTTCTGCATTGTTCGATAGTAAGAAGGAATAATCCCGGGACTCCTTAAGGTTTTTACATCTCAAACCAGACTTTGCGTTGGTCGTGCTTAAGACAGGGCTCTTTAGGTCCTTGTTACCCTGGAAAAAAAGAAAAAGAAAAACCACACATGAAACGTAGTTTTACAGGTTTTTGCATAATATTAATGTGGCCATCAGTTTCTCTATTACACATACCTTAGCATGGGAATTTCCGACCTTAGATGCCAAATTCCTCAACTCTGGCATGAATGCTTTGCTTTCTTCAATCACTCTTTGCGCAATAACAGATTGCGATGGGCCAAAGAAATATCCAAAACTACAAAGATAAATGGACCATATGCATAAATTTAAAAGGAAAAAAAAAGGCATCGTATTGAATCGAAATATAGAACTAAACCTGAAACTTACTCGTCGGAAAGTAATTTGTTCTTATTAACCGAGGATTCAGAAGCATAACCCAAATCCTTCATATGATTGTTTCTGATGCGTTGTTTCAGTTGTTGCCTTAGTTGAAGAAAGTCCAATTCGTCACTGAGCGCTCCCATCTTTCCCAAACTGCTAATTAATATTGAACTTAAACTTGTTTAAAAACCACTATTTCACTACACACACCTGCAAGCCAAATGTGAAAAGAAATGTTAGCCTGGATTGACGCAAGCTAAACGTGAACATATTAATAATCACTTAGAAGTTGTTGCTTGATGCATTCTTCCAGAATGTCCGAAAACACAAATTTTCCTCGAATTTAATCTGTTCGATAATATATATATACCAACAGATTTTATAAAGAATGGTGGGAGCACAATTAGAAGGCGAAAAATTTACACACAAGAAGAGAATCAAAACATATTATACTAGCCTCCATTGTACTAAAAAGAAAAATAAAACCATGGAGATTTCTGACTAATAGTTTTAACAGTTGAAAACCTAATGAGAAGGCTAAAATTAAAGACACAAGTGGAGGAAACAAAAAAAATCCCTCCAAACCATGTAGTAACAAAAACAAGTAAATGAAAAACAAACATACAAGAAAAGCATCAAAGAAGTAGAAAATTGATGTGTCAGTTTCTTGGTCTCCAAGGTAACCAACCATTAACGTAGTATTTTATACAGAAAGTAAGTTTCTTGTGAACATCAAGGCAAGAACCAATACAACTAAAGATAAACGAAAAGAAGAGAGCAAATTGAAGGCCTAGATTGATCTAGAGAGCTTCATTAATAACTTACAGAGATGAAAGGCCGCAGAAGGGGTTGGTATATGGTATGCGTTGTTGCATGCAAACTGCAAAGCAAAGAAAGCTCCAAGCCTCTATTTATACATAAGCGCCTCTGTTCTCTTTTTCTAATAGGAAATAGAAGCTAATATTTTTTTTTTTTTTGGGGTAACGGTCGGTGTTTAAGCTTAATCCTAGTGCGGACAGGAGATGGAGATCTTTGCCACGTCAGTTAAATAAAGATAAATGCCAATTCTCGATTGAAAAACAAAAAGAAAAGTAAACAATTTGTGAAAAAATTAATAAAGAAAAGATGTCTTTCCTTCTTCTATAACATCAGTCTAATTTTAAGACGAAAAATTCAGAACTAAAATACGCGATAAAAGACGACGCACTACGCCGAGAAAAACTGTAAATATATATATTTTTTTCGTTTGCAGAAAAATTGTTTTCATGAACAACCAAATTAAAACTAATAAGTTATATTATTTCAGAGTGCCATAAGTGACCGAGAGTAAGCAACAGAGTCATGGGACTAAATCAAGTATTAGAAGATAATTAATTTTACAGAATCTCACTATCAAAATTTCAAGAAAATGAAAAGGGGCTGCTGCTTTTACAGATGAGCAGTTCCCTCATTCAAATGCTCCTTGTATATGCAGAGGCGTGTTCCATTGAACGGTGAGATGACAACTAAGACAGCGAATTCCAAAATTCAATACACGAGGATACGTTATTGCACATGACCACGGTGATAGGGAGGCAAAGTTGCAGGCGGTGCACCACTCGGCATCATGCCAGGGCCCATTTGAGAAGGTAGAGGTAAAGTTCCAGGTGGCATGTAAGGTTGATTATGCATCTGAAGGGGCACAGACTGAGGAACTGCTGGAACCGTCGGTCCCCACCCTGCAGAAGGTTGTGGCATCACAGCCTGATCGGTTGGAGCAAATTGAGCTCCATTATACTGAGGCACTGCGGGAGCTATCATCTGAACAGGCTGTTGCCCTAGAATTGAGGGTTGTGGGTTCACAATTGGAATGTTAGGGATTGTATAGTCTCTGCTCCGATCATTGTTGATCTGTAATCAGCACAGTAAGCACAGAACATCAGGCAGAGCTTGTCTCCCGGAATCATGGGGAAAGTTGAAGGGAAAAAGAAAACCCTAAGAGAAGTGGAATATAATATAGAAGTGCAAATGACTAATCAAATAACTTGCCTTTATGCTGAGATCAGTATGGCGTGAATATGAGATGTGAAGCTTGCAAAACCCTCCATCGTAAATGCAATGCCCTTCCAAGGCTTCCTTGGCAACTACAGCTGTCTGAACATCTGCACGCCATAACATAATTATTACCTAAATTACTATCTAGTTGAATATATCATCGGCAGTTACTTTTATAGGAATTGTACAACACAGTACCATGCAGATATGGCACACCATGTACATTGGAGATAACCTTATATTTAATCAGTAAGCCTTAGGTTTGATATCAGTACGGCTTAAAAATAGGTTTGAAATCATCAAGGCCTAAATTCGAAATCAGTAAGGCTTAAGTTCAACCATGGACGTGCCAGCTGGCTGGTTACCGATCAACCAGGTAAGACCAGCCCATCCAGTCCAATTTTGAAAACCATGAAATAGAGTAATCAGAAAGGTACCTGGATACTGAATCAAAGCCTGAACCCCTCCGTTCTTATCAAACATGGCAATCTTTTGAACGGGCCCAAAAGCAGAAAAGACCTAATGGCAGGAAAAAGAAAATAAAGATCAGTTCTTAACTAAATGAGCATGGTCAACTAAGAAAACAATCAATTGAGAAAATTAATCGGATATACCATGTGTAAAACGTCCAAGGTGACAGCATACTGCATGTTTTCAATGGATGCAAGAAGCACATTACTCTCAGGTTCTAGCTTTTTCCCATCCAAGCCCACGCTAATCTGCAATGATAAATCAATAAGTACAAAAACACCTCATACAAATACAAAACATTACTACGTTACATGCATGCCAAGGTTGGGAAGTGGCTACTCAATCAATAAGGGGGCCTTGGTACATAAATGTCTGCCTGCCACATGAATAATCTAATAAGAGTTTTCTTCCCCCTCAATGCATTACCTGACCACTTCCATCTATGGCTGATGGAGCAACAGGCAGGTAAGGATTAGTGTAGTCCCTGAATCAGAAAAAAGTGAGAACAGTAGTCGCCAACAAAGAGACAAAGACAGTCTAAAAAGTAAAACTTAAAAAGCAGATTTTTTAATTTTCTTGATAGAAAGGTACTCATGGTTTTACTAATAACCAACAAGAGAGGAAATATAACAAATACAAACATAGACGGTTGCAACATAACATTAGGTATAATTCCCAAGGAAAAGAACAAAGAACATGTGATTACCTGCTTCGGTGGCTCTGAAATTTCACACTCAAATCTGTGTGTCCAGAATATGTTATCCTGAGAGTACACGGTCCCACGTGGTCAGGTAGAAGATACCTATACCGAATGAACAAAAGTTAGAAGATCATTATGCAGGCGCATTGCACGCATATAAAAACGAATACAAGCAGAAAGTGTGCCATCATCACCAAATATCATCTAACGGCCTAACTTAGAAGTATCACGCAACGAGGCATTAGTTGCGAGAACTATTTTGCTTTATTTTTAAAAATTATAGTACAAGAACATGCATTTCAAGTTTAAATTTCTGTCAAAATTCTTACAGAACACTCATGCCCTAATAACCAACAGGTGCCTAGCTCCTACATATGCGAACAACTTAATCTTAGACTTGAAACCATGCCAAGCAACTAATACAACTGTCACCTGGGGATGCTTCTTGAATCCAGTGCAGTTTTTGCAGAAGTGGCAGTTTCTGCATCTGAAAATTGCACCAATGCCTGAAGAATAATACAAAATGAGATTGTCTCCAAAGGCCAATGGAAGCCAGTTAGAAATTCAGAACTAGATTAACTGATATAGACCTGGAATCCTGCTGTCTTCTCAAAAGTAGTTATCTTGTGCACAAACCCAAAAGCTGAAAATACCTGCATCGCTAGTAAACATTCAGAAAGATACACAGAAGCCATACATTTTACAAACTTAAGAAAAAAACTTTCAAACATAATCCCTCTAAGAATCATTATGGATAATAATAGACCTCCAAATTTCATTTTCCAGGAACTACGGAAACATCTAACAGAAACAGATTACATTATCTTTGAAAAACATCTTTTACATGTGAATGAAGAAGAATGGAAGTTACAAATTAACATTAAAGATACAACATACTAATGGAATATACTAACTAAAAATTTCAGAGCCACTAGGGAGATACTTAGACTATCCTGCTCGAGATCAACCACACTTGTGCTGAGTTAATGTGAAATGTGTATCCCCACTCACAGAAGACATAGGACTAGTAGAAAATTATAGAAATAAACTAAAGAGACCCAAAAAAAAAGGCCCAAAAATCCTACAGAATATCCAAAGACTTAAATATTCCAACCACATCCTGCTTGTTAGGACTTCCTATTGGGGTGAAAAGGGTGTCCCCAAACGAAGAATACACAGGATTATTAGAAAAACTTGTTTTCTAGCTATTAAAAAGCAAGAATGATATTTGATTTTATGGAGGCACCTTAATCTTTCAACCAACGTATCTGTAAAACCATTATCCTATCTGCAAAATATAATTAATATAATTACTGAGGAATCCTATATGGATAACTATGGGGTCGTATAATTCCCGTTTTTAGTTTAAAGGAATAAGAACCATTTCATTAATCTTAATTGGCATCATTAAACCATGTATCCACTTTTCTATAAAGACTTAAAAGTATCCATGCCGGACAGACTTACACTCAGAGTGCAATTAAACACTTGAGACGTAGTATAACATAAAAGTGTGAGACAATCATGCTGATGAAACAAAGCAACAGAAAATTTTAAAAAGGGATAGAAGGATGCACAAGAGAAGAAATGAAAACATTCTAAACTATTAGAGTGGTAGGATCAGGATCATGAGGAGGAAGATTAGGGAAGAAAGAGGCAGTGTTAAGAAAGGAGAAAGGAGACAAACACACATGTGCTCTTTCTCCCGATGCACTAAGCTGCCATTGAAGATTTTCTCTTGAAATGGGCCTGCTGATCCATTCACATTTATGTCAAACAAAAACATCCCAGAACAAGACAAATTACAACCCAAACACAATACCTTAACGCTAACATATTTATACTGACAAGTTTACGTCTTTAACTAAAACAGGGAAGCAGGCACATTGCTTACCAGGTGTAAAACATCTATGCTGACAAGGCGGGCATCATCACCTTCAATTGTTACCAACAGTACATTTCCAGCAACATCCGCAGCAGTTTTGTTGTTGACTATTTCTTGCCTATTGGAGTACTGTAGGTAAACTGTTTTCCCCCTTACTTGAGCAGGTTCTGAAGATGAGGCGTAATATGATATCATCGCAATAGCTTGATTTAAATCCGCCTAAAAACATTCATGAAACAAGCATTGAAGGAAAATGTCTATCAGTAAAATATATGACAAATGTGCAAAATGGACCCCAAAAAAAAAAAAAAAAAAAACTGAATTACACTCACAAATTCAATAAAAGCTTGATTACGGTTTGCTCCAACATTGCACTTTGTGTTCACAACTTTACCAAATGGCTTTCCCAGTTCAATCAGTTCTTCCTCTGTGCACTCCCACGGCAAGTTCCTCAAATGAAGAACCTTCGATGGTGGCTGAGTGTAACGGAACTGTGGCTGACTGGACACAGAAGCCATTCTGTAAACCAACCCTTCACCTACAGAACAACACCATACAAATATTCAGTCCCTCAATCTACCACACTTCCACAAGAGCACAAACTCAATATATCTTCATCTTAATTACACACAACGGAAACCAACACTTTCATGCCCATATTATTGTTTACGACATAAATATGATGAATATATTATTATATATATTCAATGCACGTAATACGAATAGGCAAGTTTTAATTTGTGTACACAATGCATACAAATAGTATGCGTAAGCAAATCAAAGTAGGGAAATTGCCGTCATGAGAATGACACCTATGTCTTCAAAAAAATTACGAGAAAATGTAAAAAATAAGTGTAAATTTTTCCGAAAGATACAGCAATTTAGCGCATAAATATCCTAGAAAAGCAAACAATCATATAAATATATGCGTTTCTGCAATACAGAGAGGGAAGGAGATCGAAGACGCAATAGAGAATTGAAACAAAATGGACAGAAGCATATTACAGACAGAAAATTAAAATTTGGGGCAAATAGGTGCCAAAATCGAAAGGATTATGGGTGAGGAAATGGTTACCTGAAAAATTCAAAGGAAGTAAAACCTCGATTGTTTGAGACGAACGTTGTGATTGTGAATAAGAAAATTAGGGCTGACAGAGACAGACGACAAAAGGCTCGCTCTCCTCTTATCACCGTAAGGGCCGTAAGGGCTCCTGAGACTGAGCACGCGTGTTACGCAGTCCGCTTAAAATTAATACAACGTACAAATAAAATAAAAAATAAAAAATAAAAAATAAAAAAGGAGAAGGAAGATAGATATACAGAGAACCGAAAACTCGATATATTACCTCGAGAAATATAGTAAATTTTTATGGTAAAGTTATTGGTAAGAGCATTGAGAAAAACAAAAAGTGTGGGGCTATTTGAGATTTTGGCCCATAAGATATAACCCAAAGTTTTAAATATGTTCATAGCCCATTCAGGATCAGGATTGCCAAAATTTTAGTTGGGCCTTGGCTTCAAGCAGCCCATTCATTACTTTTAGGTTTTTGTATAAATAGAAATGATAGTCTAAATTATAAAAGAGAAGACGGATTTCTCACACACACTACTAAAGTGTCATAGTAGTGTCATGAGTTGAAATATTGGTCTGCTCATTTTCCATCAGGCTAGATTCTGTTAGCAGTAAACTCTCATTTGACATTTTCAAAACTCAAACATTCCTAAACATTCCTACTAATAATAGTGTGACATGTGTGTGAAAAAAAAAATTATTTTTGTGTTTTTGATGAGTTATTTTTACATGAGTGTCAAAATGTGATTCATATAAAGAGAGTATTTACAAGTTGTGATTCACATGAAGAAAGAGTATTCACAAGGATGGAGGTAGGCATTATCCTTTTCACTTTTCACTGAATTTATGCAGTTTCTGTGCACAAGATATGACATAAAAAGTAGGGTAAGAAAAGAAACAACTTTGAAGCACAGGAGCCAACATGTACTATAAAGTATTAAGTATGTATTCAAGCGGTGGGACCGACAAGACCATCTTTGTACGGGGTGGGAGGTACTGGTGGTTCTACACTTGGTTCCACATGACGATGGTCATCATCGTGATAAGGTGGTCTGTTTGATCTCCTCCGTTGATCTTCTAGGATCAGGGGAACATGGCCTTCCCTTTCATAAACTAGCCGCTCTTGTGCCCCTCCCCTCAGCTTCTCAAGCCTCAGCCCATCACTCATCTGTTGCATCTTGAACACCTTCACCACATTTGCCAATCCTCCAATCAGGAACATCAGGCTGCCACCGGTCCCCAACCACACCCAATTCCTACCCTGCCCACACGCACAAACACACAAATTAATGAATTAACCTATTTAGGCGTGCTTCTATAATGGTTAAAAGCGCTTTTTAACTACCAAAAGTGCTTTTTGGGAATCCCTTTAATTTTAACAAAAATTTCAAGGTTGTTGCAACTCAAGAGCTCGCAAAAGTGCTTCCTAAAAAAACAATCCCAAACCGGCCCAATTTCATAACCGCAATTTACTTAGACATAACAATGATTAATGGATTAATGACGAGGTTAAACAATTACCAGTAGCTGCAGGCCATGACGAAACAAACCATGTTGCTCTCGGGTGTTGAGAATTGCACCGACTGTGAACAGCACACTGCCAATCAAGAAGGGGATGTGCACGCTCTGTTGCAGGATTTGGACATGCCCATCCGCTCTCTCATAGATTTGGCACGAGTTGTGGATCGAACCCAGCAACCACAAAACAGGGCCAGCAATAAGCATGTTCTTCGCATGCCTCTCAAGCTTAGAGTAGCCATACCCTTTCTCTGCCTGCAACATTTCTCTGCACTCTTAATGCCACATCACATTCTTAATTAAATGATTAACAATTCATTAATATATGTATAAACCTGAATTAGAAGGAAAAAAATGCCCAAGAATGAGAGGACGGTGCCCAGAGCCTGAATCACAGGAACAGCGAACTCTACGAGCGCCAGCTGCTGGTCCAGCTCCATCAACGGCATCGAGTAGTCGAACATGGCAAGGTGGGCCACCAGATCATGCAAATTCACCACCAAGATTATGACCAAGGCTATGAGCATCAGAACCAGGCCTGACTTGGGCTCCTTGGACAGCTGAGCCACAAACCCACCAAGCAGCACCACCGTCGCGAACACGTAGAGCCCGGCGTTTATGTACTCGGCTCGGTTCCGGTCCATCCGGGGCCCGTACATTCGGACCTCCCGAGCCGACGCCAGCTTCACCATTTTAACTATGGAAATTAATTAAAAGAAAGTAAAAAGTATATAAATATATGAAGAAAAGAAATTCGTGTGATGTGAGAAAAAAGAGTCTTCGTCTCTGTTTGTTCTTCTTCTGCTTCTTGTTTTCTGGGTTGAGAGACTCACAGAACGAGTGAGTGAAAGATTCGAGAGCGAAACTGTTTAAGTGGTAAGATCACAAGGGGGCACGTGTCTTCGTGCATGAAGCGCTTGCATTTGGAATTTCTAATATAATGCATCAATGACACGTGGCTGCTGGGGACTGAACTTAGATCGACACGAGGTTCTCATACGAATCATGCAATCACTTACTGATCATTATCATTAGAAAAAAAATGAAAAACAGAGAGAGAACGTGAGAAGAGTTACAGTATAACGACGTCGTCGAGCTTCATTCACCTCTCTCTCAACTGAAAATGTTGATGGTGGGAACATGGAAGCGCAGCCGATGGAAGCCGAACGTTAAACAGTTGTCGACCCTTTATCAACCTGCGAAAACTCTAGTCTCCGACATAGTTTCCACCAACGTCTGCATAACTCGGTACAGCAAATGCGGGCAGCTAGATGTTGCTCGGAAGGTGTTCGACGAAATGCCCATCCGAACCGTCGTCTCATGGAACGCCATGGTTTCGGGGTATTCAAAGTGGGGAAGATTCAGTGAGGCTCTATCTTTGGTTTCAATTATGCATCATGGCAATGTGAGACTCAATGAAACGACCTTTTTGACAACTCTTAGCGTCTGCGCGCGTTCAGGGTCTTTGAGTGAGGGAAGAGAGTTGCATTGCTCGGTGCTGAAAACTGGGACGGAGTGTTTTGAGCTAGTGGGGAGTTCTCTGTTGCATTTCTACTCTAATTGCCTTAAAATTGAGGACGCTAAGCGGGTTTTTGATGAGCTGCGTGGTGGAAATGAGTTGTTGTGGAGCTTAATGCTCGTGGGATACATGCAATGTAATTTGATGGGTGATGCTATGGAATTGTTTCTAAAAATGCCGAAACGGGATGTTGTGGCATGGACTACGTTGATTTCCGGGTACGCTAAGAACGAGGATGGGTGTGAGAGAGCCTTGGAGTTGTTTCAATGGATGAGGGGGAGTGGTGAGGTGGTTCCTAATGAGTTTACGTTGGATTGTGTTATAAGGGCTTATGGGAGATTGGGAGTGCTGTGTGCAGGGAAGGCTGTGCATGGACTTTTGATTAAGTATGGTTTTGAATCTGAAGAATCCATTGGTGGTGCTTTGATAGAATTTTATTGTGATAGTGAGGCTGTTCATTGTGCCAAGAGAGTTTATGATCGACTAGAAAACCCATGTTTAAATGCTTCAAATTCGCTTATCGGGGGCCTTGTATTGATGGATAGGATTGAAGATGCAGAAAGAATTTTTAGTAGACTAAAAGAAAAGGATCCAGTTTCATATAATTTGATGATCAAAGGTTATGCGATGAGTGGTCAAGTTGATCAGTCAAAGAGGTTGTTTAAGAATATGAAGCATAGAACTATAATCTCTTCAAATACCATGATTTCTGTGTATTCTAGGATTGGGGACATTGATAAGGCTTTTAAGCTTTTTGAAGAAACGAAAAGGGAAAGGGATCCTGTAACATGGAATGCCATGATCTCTGGTCACATTCAAAATCATCAGCATGAGGAGGCTTTGGAACTATATGTGACAATGCACAGATTATCAATTGACCGTACAAGATCAACATTCTCTGCTCTGTTTCATGCCTGTTCATGCCTTGGATCTCTTCAATTGGGACAAGTACTTCATGCCCAGTTGATTAAGACACCATTCGAATCGAATGTGTATGTTGGAACATCCCTAATAGATATGTACTCAAAATGTGGAAGCATCACTGATGCTGAAACATCATTTATCTGCATTCATTCACCAAATGTGGCAGCTTTGACAGCTCTCATTAACGGGTATGCGCAGTATGGGCTTGGCTCTGAGGCAATGTTGCTGTTTGAGCAAATGTTAAAGCAAGGAGTCATCCCTAATGCTGCTACTTTTGTGGGGATTCTGTCTGCCTGCAGTCGTGCTGGTCTGGTCGATGAAGGGATGAGAATTTTCCACATGATGGAAGGAAGTTATGGAGTAAACCCAACTCTTGAACACTATGCATGCATAGTGGATCTTCTTGGTAGGTCTGGTCATCTACGAGAAGCTATGGAGTTTATCGATGAGATGCCGATGGAACCGGATGGGGTTATCTGGGGAGCTCTGCTACATGCTTGTTGGTCCCGGATGGACATGGAACTGGCTGAGAAGGTGGCTGAGAAAATGTTTAGCTTGGATCCCAAGCCAATATCCGCTTATATAATTTTGTCTAACATATATGCAGTACTGGGAAAGTGGGGGGCAAAGATGAATGCAAGGAAGAGATTGAGAAGCTTGGAAGTGAAAAAGGATCCTGGATGTAGTTGGATTGAGTTGAACAGGAAAGTTCATGTGTTCTCTGTAGAAGACAATACCCATCCTCATTGTAATCTGATTTATGAAACGTTGGAGTTTCTGACAGCAAATATAAACTCTATTGTTCAGTTCGATTGTCTTTATGAAACATACTCTCATTGACCAAACTCACACTGTCTATCCTTTTTCTTTCGTTGCTTAACTTTAAATTGGATCCTTGAAAACAATAAAAAGTAAAATTAAATGACTAGCTAAAGTCTCAGTTATAATTTTAGATGTTCTTCAAGTGATACAGGACATGATTTAGAGGGGCTTAGATAAGAAAAGAAATTCATCAGTATCTTCTCAAGATACTGCATAAACAGTTGACACACTTCGTATGAATTCAAAAGAATTTGTGTGGCAACAATTAAGAGCTCTGTTTTGCAACACCTGCCGCTTTCACCACCCCTCGGAGTCGGAGGGTTATTGACGTTAATGGTAATTGCTGTGCAAAACAGTGATTTAATTTTGAAGAACCTGTGGCAATTTCTTTCATTGTCCTGCTTACTGCTGATTATGTAATGTCTGCCTATTCTCTTGTTCATTGGTGTTTGCCTTTTAATGTGCTACTAAGAAACAGGCAAATTCCCAAACAAAACAAACCCAGAAGCTAGTCTAGAATTTGTTTCGAATTTTAGAAAGAAGATCAAACAAACCTTGCTGCTGTTGTGGGCTGTGGTTGGGCCCAAACCCACAAAACTTTGGGCTCAATGACCAATCAACCCAACTCACACTTGGCTTGAGCTTTGACCCTTTTGACTCAAAATTGAAAGGGAATAATAAGTCACTTTTGATCAACAGGTATGAACATTAGAAAGGGGTTTAGTTAGTTTTGGTCGGAATTGTTGTCGTAGAATAGATGGATGTTGATGCTGGTCTACACTGTCGTATATAGTACGAAGTGCACAGTATGGAAACTTGGAAGCAAGCAAGTAGCAAGTACCTTTGCCTTTCTTTGATAACCATTCGAAATTCCCTCGTGTTATACTTTATATATAGTAGTGTAGGGACAAAAGTTGAAAATTCCTCTGTGCACAATAAGTCACGGGAAGAAGATGCATGTGACCCAAAAACAAACAACATTATTGTGAGGACTAAAATACCATTGAAGTGACCTCTGGGTGCTTATGTACTTTTCATGTCAAAATTTTCAAATGCACACTGCTCTTAATTAAATGATGGTATTTTATTGGGCCCAATATATCTTGCTATGGAATGGATCCAAGGATAGAATAGTAAATCTACTTTTCTATTTTTCAGAAAGGAATTTTAAAAAGGATAAACTACAGTAAACTCCCCAACTTATAGGGTCATTTACGAGTCCATACCCGATTTTGGGGACATTTATAAGTATATACTCAACGTCGCGGAAAATCTACAATTTGCCCCCTCCGTTAGCGAGATCGTCAGACAATCCGTTATCTGCCTATGTGGCATTTGTGGAATTCATTTTTTAATTGATTCCACTTCGGAGTCTACAGACTCTCCCATGGCTGAAACTACAGAGAAGCCACCCAATATTGAAAGTGATGACGAAGAAGAGCAGACTTTCGAAAGCCTCGGATTTGATGCTCGTCTAATTCGTGCCTTAAACAAGAAGAAAATTTCTTGTTCAGATCGAGCAAAGCCACATAAAGATCCTCCTTTGATCGAGCGAAGCCTGAAATTGAGGCTTTTTAGTGTTTTGCAACCTTAGGGTTTAGATTCAAATTCGAATTTGATCAATAAATTGACCAAGTACAAATTAGGTTTTGAAATTGATTTGAGTTTGGTGCGTTATGGCGATTGGCCTGGTTTTTTTTTGTTTTATTTATTTTTTTTGTAGGGGTTTTAAAAGTCTCAAGCGTAATTTAAGAGGGCATGTCTCTTTGGCTTGTGATACCTCTTTTCATCATTTACAGAGCTTACATATTTCTGAAAATTTAGTTAATCAATCTTCATCCTTCAATTTGTAGATTCCAATGCATGTGTTTGATTTTAATAACGAACTGGTTCCTGGATTGTTTTTGCACTTTGGTGTAGTTAACGTGCTCTTCTCCCTTTTTAATTATTGTTTTCATAATTTTGGAGCCTCAGCGAAGTTCATGGGGTTGGTTGGGTGTGTGGCGTTGGTTCCTAGAGGAGGGTGGGTGTTGGATGTCGGGGCTCAGAGACTTGGGGGTGGTGTTAGGCTGGGGTGGGCTAAGAGATTCAGGTCGCTGGGTAGGGAGGGAGGGTGCGTCTGATGGTTTTTTTTCCTAATGAGTTTTGGGGTAGGCGACGGGAGAGGGGTGGCTAAGAGGTGGGGTTGAGTTGGGAGGAAGAGAGGGGGTTGGGTCCTCAATGGACGCACTCCTCGTGTAGCTTTTTTCTATAGGTTTTCTATTTTTGGTTTTTGGGTATTCATGGTGAAGGGAGGGAGGAGAAGATGGCAGGGTGGCTCTTTGGGCTGCGACGAGAGAGTGGTGGCTTAGTGGGGTTTAGTCGGGAGGGAGAAAGAATTGTCTGGGTTGGAGAAGAGAGATGAGATTTTTTATTTATTTTTTTTAATGATTTTAAAATTAATTTTAACATTTACATAATTTTTTTATTAATTTTTTGTCCACATGGAACTCCACGTCAATTAAAAAATGGATCCCACAAATGCCACATAGGCAGATAACGGATTGTCTGAAGATCTCGCTAACGAAGGGAGCAAATTGTAGGTTTTCCGCGACGTTGAGTATGTACTCATAAATGTCCCCAAAATCGGGTATGAACTCGTAAATGACCTTATAGGTTGGGGGGTTTACTGTAGTTTACCCTTTTAAAAAAGAGAGAATAAAAATGCAAATTTTACCTTATTTGTTGGCTGCTCACTGAGCTGCTAAACAAATAATAAAATAAGAGGGGAAGTGTTCCATCATCCATCCATCTTCCATCATCTTCCATCATCCATGCATGATGACAAAGGTAAAGAGATGAATGAGCCTTTTGGAGACAAAGCAGATAGGCAAGGCCAGTTTATATTTATATATATATATATAGCTAGGCTTTTTCCCCATTGCCATTTCTTCCTTGTTTCTTCTCTGAGCTCTGTGTTGTCAACTACAAGTCTACAAGCCTACGAGTCAACAAACACACTTTGTAGTTTGTTGGGGGCAGCAGCAACTTGTGGTTGTGGCTTCCGCATCAAAGAGATATATATTCCCTTTTCTTTCTTTGAATTCCACACTCATATATATAATACTAGCAAGTTACAAGCGCAACCCAATTTACTACATTTCTCTCATTCCTTATTCCATTCCTCTCTTTCTCCTCCATTTACCTTTCTTTTTTAGTCTGGTTTCTAACGCAGACCATGGACCGATGTCGTCGAAAACGACCCAAAACCGCCACTTCTGAGTCTGACGGTTGGTGCTTCATTCCTTCTCCATTTTATGTTCCCTTTCCAACAAACTTTCATTTCTAATTAAGTAAGTTTGTCTGTCTTCTTTTTTTAGTTGTAAGAAAGTTTGTCTGTTTGATGAAACTTTCATTTGATGTCCTTTTGTTTTCCCATCTACTCGGGCAGAGGTTATTAGCAATGAGTGGGAATTCATAAACATGACTGAACAAGAAGAAGATCTCCTCTATAGAATGTATAGGCTCGTTGGGCCCAGGTAATAACTTGTTTATTTCCAAATCCAAATTATTAGTATCTGTTATTTTTCTCATTATTAATACATAATAATAATCTAAGCCATTACACAAATATGGAGTTGATAGCATGCAGCACAGCAAACTCTGCACATGGTTAATCGAAAAAACAAAAAGGAAAAGCACTTACAACCCAGATTCCAAACTTCACTTCCATCTCAAGTTGTAAAGTTTGTCTTTTCTATTGTCTCATCGTCTTTCAGATTTTACTGTTCCGAACATTAATTGTACTCTAAAACCCCAGCTGCCTTCCACGTTGCTACCTTTAAATATTTCCGTCATGTGTCCAACAGTCAAGAGTTGACCTTAAATCCTTGATCCGTATATACAAGAGTGTCCTTACCTTGCAGTTATTGCAAAACAAGATATCTGAAACAGTTGTGTTTCAAGTCACGTGAAACTATCCAGCATGAATTCTACAGCTTGAATCTGGAGTGTGACAATATTTGTTATCTTGGATTTTAATGTCATGGAGGTTTGCATATACAAATACCATGGTGTGATTTTTTTTTTCTTTTCGCTGTCTTGGTTTCAGGTGGGATTTAATAGCTGGTCGGATTCCGGGTCGAACACCAGAAGAATTAGAGAGGTATTGGATCATGAGACATTGTGATACGTTTGCTGACAAAAGAAATCAGCAAGACAACTCTGAAAAATGTTGGTCGTCGAATGTTTAATGCTTTCAAGTAGTTGTCTTCGTCTTAGATGGTTATTGTGGCTTGGCTTCCGTCTGTTTCTTGTGCAGTAGTTTAGTTCTTGCAGTTATCTCTCTCTCTCTCTCTCTCTGTGTTCTTCTGATCTGATCTGATCTGAAAATATGCTAGGTTGTATCAGTGAAGCTAGATGAATGGACAGATGAAGAAGTTGATATCTTGGCGAGTATGGGAGGAAACGTTGCTGTAAATAAGAAGTATGAAGCTTGCTTGCCAGAAAATGTCAAAAAACCAAAACCAGATTCTTCTATAGAGGAGCGCTTTTATTTAATTTCATGATGAACATTAAATATTTTGAATTAAAAATTGCTAGCAAGTTCAAGATTTCACATAAAAGCAAGGCAACAATGATCTCTGTGTGCATAAGTTTGCAAATAGCAGTCGGATGTTCCAGTGTGCTAAAATTGCATTTTGTAGCTGTATGGAATATTATCGTATAAAGGGTTGAAAAATATTACATTTCATGTATCATCTATACATGGGTATATACGGAATCTCAAGTCTTGTCATCCATATGGATTTAGATGGTATGAGAACTCTATGTTTACTGTTTTACTTTTTTGAAATTTCTTACAGCCTTACTTTGGCCTAGTTAAAAGCCTATGGTACAGATGACTAGCATACAGCATTTCAAATATCCAAAGGTAGAAGATTTTTTTAAGGAGATCATGCTGTGTTGACCGCTTTATACTACGTATCTGCGAAGATAATCTACCCGAGCTGGATGCTTCAGCTTCATAAGAGCCTTAACTTCATGCTTTCGAACCATTTCTCTTGAAATATTCAAGTTTCCAGCAATCTCCCCTAACGTTCTATCGCCCTTACCATCAAGCCCGTATCTCTGTCTGATCACCAAGCTCTCTTTGGGCTTCAGTGAATCAAGCTGGTGAGAGAATATTCAGAGAAAGGATTAGCTACCACATGAATGCAATTGTAGACTGCAACTTAGGAAGAGTAGACTAATAGTATATTACAAGGGGACCTGAGTCCACTATCAGTAATGATGAGCAACCTGAAACTTTGAGAGCTCTTGAAGTGTGACAGGTGCTAAAGCCAAGTCAACAAAATGCCTAAATGGTTTGTGCATGGCACTTTGTGTTTCTAGCTAGTAATTAAAAATGAAGCTTAATAATCCTGAAAATGTCTAGCTAACAATCAATCTTCAAACAGAGAAAGCGGTGCGGTGTTAATATGAGGTTATCGGAGAGGGCAAGTAATTACCACATCATCAAGAGCAAGCCTGAGAAGAGCAGGTTTCTGCCGGTTATCACCCTCTACACCATCAACATCAGTAATACCATTTATAAACTCCTCTTGTGTGGTTGTATGCCTTGAATGAAGAGAGAAAACAGGTTTTGACGCCCTCATTACTTCATGGTACCTCTCAGGGGAAATTCCAACCTTTTCAATTATCTCGTCCTCTGTTGGCATTCTTTTAAGTGCAAACAACATCCCAAGCTTAGCCTTTTGGATTTCCGCCCTAACCTGCATAAAGGAAGAGTGAAAACCGTAAGTTTCCATATTTGCAACTTTCATTCTTTTCCTTTCCCCTACTAAACTACCATTACATGCATTTTTTGGTTGGTGCAAATTCAGTTCCTAGTAGTATAATGCTGCCATTCGTTTCCCCTCTATCATAGAAATTGGTTGAATCAACAATTCAGACAAAGTCTGAATCCTGTATTTAAGTTCAAAATTTTTTTTTTTCTAGTATGCAAGGCTCTGCAGCATAGGACCAGTTATGCGAGCTAAGATAGCCAATGTTCATGCTTATGTAGGATTGTTGTCAAGTGATTCATGGCAATGATTATGCAATTGCGAACAAAAATAACCATAGCCCAGCTTAGTTAGAGAAAGAACTTACTGATTCAAGGCCAAATGAGACACGAGTAAAGCTTGAGAGTGTCATGGAGCGTATGATGGCATGCCTGATCCAGAACAGACCATATGTGGAAAGCCGGAAACTTCTTTTTGGTTCAAAGCGATCAATTGCTGTAATAAGTCCCTTCACTCCTGCCTGGCAAAGGTCTTGAAATTTTGGGCCATTTGCGAAGTCTTGAAAATATTTGTTCATGACAAATAACACAAGTCGGAGATTATGCTGCAACACATATCAACATTTCAAGTTAGATTCTCTGCTTCACATCTGAAACCACAAATTCTTAATCAGTATGCAAGACTAGATAAAGTAACGCTGCATATAAAGTGGATAGAAAGCATGACAATGCTTGCCTTGATGAGCTTGCTTCGTGCAGCTCGACCAACTTCCAAATGTTTTTTCACTTGAACCACACTCATATTTGTCGCCTCAGCTAATTCACCATTGGTTGGTTCTCTCCCCAAATCTTTTTGTAAATTCTCTTTCACTTCAAGAAGACCCTAAATCATGGCAAACATAATTATTCGGCAGCAAAATACAACTCACACAACACAACACATGTACAATGCTACAAGCCAATTTTTAAGACTGCAGCCAGAAAACGGAAACTTTAGAAGGCTCACCTTCATAGGTTGCATTAGCTTGAACAACCAAGCATGCTCTGAGGATGTAAGAACTGGAGGAATCTTCATCTTTTTCCAGTCCAAACTAACCAGATCAGTTGAAGCCGAATACTCCCTTACAAGCTCCTCAATCTTCTCATTTTCGTTCTTTCTACTTTTTCTCTTTCGAACTATGGAAGCAATCACTTTCTCATCCTTATTCCATTTCAATGTAACCCTTTTATCAAGACTCAATCTTTTAGCCTTCTTTGTCCTGTTCCTAACCACAGTGTTACTTGTTCTGTTCTCTTCTTTGTCAGCATCACTTTCACTTGTCTTCTTCCTCCTTTTGCGACCTCTTCTCATCAAGCCATCTACATCTTCCACATCTGAATTGGCTTCAGTCTCGGGGCTACGCTTGTATAAGTTTTCCAGTTTGGCAGCAGCTTCATTGTAATCCACTTCCAAGGTACAAGGAGAAGCTACATCTGTAGTGGCAGACTT